GTTTTTGAATAACTTACAAATGTTCTCAAAGGTTGACCAATTAGTGCATACAATTTTAATTTTATGAAAAACTATAAAATGTTCTCAGTGAGGGTTCGTAAAACTCGGTGTTTAGTCTAATATGTTGGTGTATTTGAAATATAAAACAGTCAATAACGAACATGTTTTTAATTGCGCTGATAAATTTGTTGCGGAAACAAATTTTTTTTATGGGTTAGGTTAGGTTGGGTTTAAGTTAGATTGGGCTGTCTATCACGCCATATATAGAAATGCAGATAATTTTTAATGCCAGATTGATGTTCAGCTTAATATGAGCTGAAGTTTACATCGTACAGAACGTCAACGCTTTTTGCGAAGTTTAATAGAAACTTGATATCTGATTCTGATATTTTATGCAGTCCCTTGAACTGTGAAGCTCCTAGATATAAAAGCCAAGAAGAGTTGTTCCAACGTCTCTCTCATGCCTTTTTCACTGACTTTTCTACCTGTGTCAGCGTTAATAATGCTCATACGGCTCGCAGTAAGTTGTGACCGTGACTAGGCCAACAACCGTTCTGCAGTCTTTTCGAGACCGTGTAAGTAGAAAGCTTGCGCGTTCTCCTTCCGCTACCTTGCACATGATCTTAGCTGATTTAGCTGTCAGCCCTTCAGGAAATTTCATTTTGTATCTTTTTTAGTGGCTTGCGTATTTTCTGAACTGATCAAGTGGAAGGTAGTTTTGACAATCACATCAGTTCTTTCATTTCCCGGAACGCTCTTGCGGCCTGGAAGCCAATATTTATGCATTCACTTTTCGGTAGTCACTATATCTACTGCCTTCTAAGGACCATCTCTGATGAAATGCGTTGTGACATTATTGCTTTAATAACCACTGGGCTTTCGACGTATATATTGATACCTTTTATGTCGTTTTCTATGTTATTAGCTATCTCAGCAGCTTGAAAGTTCACCTGAGATCTAGCTGCGCGCAATAGATCGCGGCGCTCACTTCTCTAGTTTTGATCCGTCCGTGAGATTCAAACCTATGCTCAACGTTGTAGTAGTCGCGAACTCAACACTTTTAGCTACGGACATTGTCATTGTTAAGATTTCTATCCATCCGCTTATGCGTTCTTGCTATGGTACTTTAAATGTTTTCATTTCCGATATTGGGCATTTGCGGTGCATACGTACTTACAAACAAACAATAATCGCTCAATCGCTTGAAGTCGAATCTGTGGGAATTAGAATTATCGACGCTCGAAAGCATTGAAAAGGAAATTAGTTTAATGTGGCAGTTCCTGCGACGAAGTTGAGTGTAATGGCACGTAAGCAGTGAGAGTGCAAATTTCTGTATATGTATATGAATCAATCCCAGTGGCATGGTGTAACGGTTCACTCATTGCACAACATTTGATTATCCCGTTGCGCTCCATTTAAGCACCAACGCTGCCGGTGCATATCATTAGTTTATTTTGATGGCAAACTATTTACATAACAGCAACAATAACAAACACAACAACAATGCGAACATCATTGCAATGAATACAAAGTTAAGCATGTACCGTTAAGCCAGCCATTTGCTGGCACAGGACCAACAGCTGCTTATCCATGGAAGCGCGTGTGTGAGAATGTGTGCTCGTGTACCTGGCGCTGGCTTGTTGAGTTGCTGTGACGCCGGTGCTCGCATTACTCATATTTGGATCGCTTAAATTATAAGCTTATACACTTGCAGCCCCACTTCGCGTTGCCGGCTTACTTAATATTCCTTGAATATATAATTAAATGGGTTTAGGAAAATTTAATGCCTTGTGCATTTTAATATAGTTTGCCGGAAATAGCGGTAAATCCAAAATTTAAAAAACACTCCAAAAATATTGCTATGGTTATTGTTGTAGTTGTTTTTGGCAAGTGACAAGTGTTATTGTTAGACTCATTTGCTGTTTTGGCGAGAAACTAAAGCAGGTCAAGCGAAAAGCTTAGCGAACTCACACGCGCAATTAAATCACACACACATGCACACATGCGTACATACAAAGAAATTCACACACAAACATACATATGTAAATTTTTGTAAAGGTTTTATTTCTCCCCGTACCACAGCTTTTCGGGCGCTTTTTTCCGCTTCACTTATTTTCATTACACCGTTATGTTGCAGGTATGCCCCAGTCCGCCGCTTCACCGCACCTTTAACATAGCGCTTAGCATCAAAAAATTTATATATGCACCGACAACGCAATCCGCGCTTCGTTTGTTTTGTTTTTTTTCTCTAAAAAGCTTTGCGCCCCTCCTCCTACACCCCTTCTGTAAGTGCTGACACCTCTGCCACGCGCCTGTCATTGTCGTCTGCCATCGTCGACTGCAAACGCATTTAGCATGCGTGTAAAATTTTACAAGCGCTAAATTCGTTGTGTATTTCCCGTGCGTGCGTCCCAAAATCCCAAAGCTTTAGAGCAAAATATTAATTATTCACGAGTTGACACTCACACATACGAGGAGTGTTCAAAGTAAAAGATGAATTTTGAATTTTTTTGAAATGTACTTATTTGTTCATCAATATATATTTGGTTGCCTTCAAAGTAGTTCCCCTCGGATATAATACCCTTGTGCCAACGATTTTCCCAATCCTCGAAGCACTTCTGAAATGCACTTTTTGGTATAGCCATCAGCTTTCTTCGATTCTGACTTGATCTCATCAATTATGGCAAAACGCTTTCCTTTCATTGGTTTCTTCTGTTTTGGGAATAGGAAAAAGTCGTAGGAAGCCGAATCTGGTGAATACGGTGGTACCCGGAACGTTGTTGACGTCATCCAGTAACTCCTAAGCGATACTAATGCGACATTGGTTTTGCTTTAAATTTGGCAAGTTCGGAACAAACTTCGCTGCCACACGTTTTATGCTTAAAACATTCGAGAAAATTGAATGTCATGAGCCGATTGATATGTCAACATCCTCTGCAACTTCCCTAAGCGATTTACCAATTTTCAAGAATAATATATTTGATGTGCTCGGACCTCCAATATGCTCATCGTCATCAACATCTTCTCGGCGTTCTGTAAAGCGATTGTACCAGTTATAAACACTTTTTTGAGGTAAAGTGGACTCACCGAATGTCACAGTCAATAATTCAAGTGCCTCGGAGCACTTTATTCCATTTTTAACGCAAAATTTAATACATATTTTTTTGATCCATTTCTTTCAAAATTCAAACATCGAAAAGCACACAAAAACGTGACTAACCTTTTCTGTAGTCAAAAACAAATTAGTAATCAACATTGGCTCCTAATGATCCACATATGATCATATCATGATAAACATATGCGTCCGATTATAACAAAAACAAAATATCAATAATTGAATGTACACAGCCCGCGAAAAATCAAAATTCACCTTTTCATTTGAACACACCTCGTATGCACATTTTTTATATGTAACTGTATATGTTGTATCAAAAGTGTACACAAATATGTTGTTGTGGGTCTGGCAAAAGCGGGGTTATCCATACAGCTGATACAGGTGGCATCCGGTAAGATATTCAATCTAACTGCATCCCAATTGGACAGTGTCCAGTTAGAACTAATACATCCATTGAATGGTGGCTCTTGCTGAGAGAACCTTGAGACTGCACAGCTGTTAGAAGTTGATCAACGCTTGCTGAGCTAATCTGAGGCCCAACAGTCCAGTAGTGAACAACAGCTCCTACCCGTTCCCATTCTGCAGTTATTGCGATTGCAGTACTGTCCTAGCAAGCTCATCCGCCTTACGGTTTCCTGCAATACCGCTGTGGCCAGGCCTGGCGCCCAAATCAGTCTAATCATAAAATAAAGCGATGCTATAAATAAGGAGTCTTGAGCGCACAATCAACGAACTCAAGCCAATATCGCTGCGCTCCTACCCAAGTGGATATTAACCACTCTGAAGCAGGCTGCGCTCCGTAACAGTAGATCTACGGTCACCTGTATGGTAGCTAACTCTTTCAACTTTTTCACTGTAGTACCTCGATAATAATTTTGGTCTTGAAAGCCCTTTATCAGTTCTGTCCTTAGGAGATTTATATCAAATTCGAAACAAAAAGAAAGGTTCGAGGTGAAACCAATTCTTTTCCAATATAGTATTTCATTTTCTAAGTAGGCTTTTTATTGGACGACTCCATAACCGGCAGTTCACAAATAGAAAACCTTAGCAAATGAACTTTATTTCTAAGGCGATCTGAAGGTAGTGACTTCATTGGAAAGCTCGAATATGTCGACGTCTGTGCCGTTGCAACTGGTCGCTGCCTTTGGCTTTAGAAAAAAGGTTTATATCGAGCTTTACAGATATCGACTTAACGTTATAATTAATATATTCGGATATTCGTTTCTATTTAGACAATTTTACCGCTGAATGCTGGAAACTTGTTTTATAGAACTTTTATTAAAAGGTTTGAACTATCCGTGTAAAGGGTCAAGGTAAGTCCGACAACTTGGTGTTGAACTCGGAGAATTGAATTTGGCATCTGCGACCTTTCAAATATCTTTTAAGTTAAGACGTTGAAGGTGTTTTGTGGAATCTTTTTGAGTTTCAGACCAACTGCAGTCGTTATTTCTTGCGGAAAATGGAAAAGACTTTAATGGACCTTAAAACTAAATATTTAGGAATGATTTTATGGGTAGCAGTTCTCACAAAATTATCGTTCATAAGCTGAAGTTCAGAGCCTTGTAAGTATACGTCTTTTTCATGAACTTATTTCTCTTAAAGTGCAATAATTTATTGATATTGTCTAGCTGAGAAGTTGGTTTAATATACCAGCACCGAACCACCATCCTTCAAACCAAACGCCGTATAGCTACCACTCTGACTATTTGTGTGAAATAAAAAGCTGTTGCTTTGAATAAATGGCTACATATGTGCCAACATGTGTGCTAACCTTGCTTTCAACGACAACTACTAATGCATGCGACAGGGCGTATGAGTAACCTATAAAATGCAAAGGGGTGCTTATATGATTTGTTTCAGTTTTGCTATTGTATATAGTTTTGTATGTAAATGAATACGCAAATATATATGTATAGTACATATTTTGTATATATGTGTGTATATATATGTAATTCTATACATATGTCTATACGAGTACATTAATGCTTCTCTAATACTATGTTTACAAGCTAAACGCTTTTCTTACCAACTCCTCGCATTATTAGCTAATCTGCATGGTCTTAATAAGGACTTAATACAATGAAAATCCAGAAGACAAGGTATACAGCGGCTAACACGTTTGCACTCTGTCGCATATGAATACACACACCTACATATATAAATGCTTCAAATGCTTAAATAAACAGCTTACTTGTGCGCTTAACCCCGGCTTTTGAGGTATTTATGATGCCATTTTGTATTATTAGACATCTCAGCTTAACGTTCTAATACGTTTTGTAAACATACACCACACCGCCGTTCCCATCTCTCCCCAAATTTGTGGTATTTCAGTGGGGCGAACTTAGAGCAAGTTCCATTGTTTAACGATGTGAGTTTGCGCTTTTTGCCCGCTTGCCCGCTTCGAAATTTTATCTTTAGTTATTCTTTTATTTATTTATTTGCAACAACAGGTTGTTGCTGAAGTGGCAGCAACACCAAAATGCTTGTTGCGCTTTCTTCTTTCGCCTTTTGTAGTCAATTACAGGGATTAAGTTGCATTTGTTAGATACTTCTAAGTGAGTTGTGTTCGGCGTGCTGCTCCCTTTACATATTTTATCCTTCTTCGTTTTTTCTTCTTCTTCTACAGTCGCTGCTGATGTTGCTAAGCCGCGTATTAGCTGCATTTAATCCACATGTAAACAAGTTAGCTTTAGCCGCGTGTGTAAACACCAGATTCAGTGAATAAACTAATATTTGCGCGCATGACTGTAATTAAGTGCTTCTAGGTTGAGCTAGTGAAGGAAAAAATAAAAAGGAAATTTAATGAGGATATAGTAAGTTTTTTAATTTGACTAAGTCGGTGCACACTTCCGGTTAGTGTCTAAATATGGAACCCTTTTCGTGTTCAAAGTCAATTTTTTGATCTTCGTTTGGTGATAAATTTTTATTGTCTTTAATGTGAATGTATTAAAAGTGAAAATGAAAAAGTAAAGCTTCAATTGGTTTGGTGGAAATATAATATAAATTATTTGATTTGCTGCCTTTTGAAGCATCAAGGCAAAAACGTTAACTTTGGCTACACCGAAGGTGCATTTTCTATAACTATTATATATGTAACTGATTCAAACAATATGTCCGCTAATTATAGCGTTTCCTTTGGAAATAATTCATGCCAAATTTAGTGAAGATATAACATCAAGTAGAAGAGTTTTCCATACAAGGACTTGATTTTGATCAATCAGTTGGTATGACAGCTATATGATATAGTGATCTCAACTGAACAATTTGTTCGGAGCTTATACCTTTTGTTTTGAATAATATTGCGTGATAAATTTCCCGAAGATGTCACGTTAAAAGAAATAGTTTTCCATACAAGTACTTGATTTCGATCGTTTAGTTTGGATGAGTGCAGCTATATGTGGTAGTGGTCCGATATCGATACAAATAAACAGGTCCTTTGGGAGAGAAGGACGTGTGCAAAATTTCAGATCGATATTTCAAAATCAGAGCGTACAATCTCGTTTGTAGTAAAATTGCATAAATAGATTTGAAATAGAGTTAGTGGTTGTGGTGTCATTTTGGGTGGCATAGGACTATTAGATATGTGTTCTTCAAAAGTAGACTTTACTACTTTTACCTAGAAGAAGCTGCAATGCTAATATCAATATTTCAATATATATTCTCCACATATCTGGGAGAAAAGTTACATACAGAGCATTCGAGTTAAAGGAACTTTCTATACTCATGGCCTGAGTTATTGAAGTGATTTTGGAGTTATTTTTCTTCTTCTGCTAAAACAAGTTTGAACCTGGTCTGATTTATGAACTTTACTAACGACATTTTGAAGTTTATTTTTTTATGGAGCATTGATCTCCATTGATATCCCTCTGTCAGCAATTTACAATGTCTCTTTTAGCAACCACAGCCTTTAGTTTCAACTTAGTGGTCAGTTGAGAGCAGATTTTTTCTCGTGTGTCTAGAAATAAGATTTAGCATCAAATATTCCAACAAAAATTTAATTCCATAATTGATTCACTTTTATCCACTTAAAAGTGCTTAATGCATTTCTTTTGACTCACTGTACATAAGTGACTTGTTTAACTGATTTTGTTCAAAACATCGCTTAATAATCAAATGTATATACTTAATGGATCTATATTAAATTAATGTCTTTATCCTCAGTTTCTCGCTTGCGGTTGTAAATCATTAATCTTCCACATTAATCACAAGCCAATTTAAAATAAAAAACAAGTTTTACATTCAAAATTGTTCGCTCGCTCAATGCTTTTAATGATCGTGTCTCACAACTGCACTTGCAAACATAAATTACACATACAAACACATCTACATACACAGATTGCTATGCATTCATTAGCCAACGTCATCAATTTGTGCTTTGCCTTCGTCAACGCCTTTGGCCGACACAAGTGAATTGTCTCTGGCGTCAAACGCAATTATATGCGTCATTTGAAGACTGTCAGCTATCAGCAGCAGCTGTCATTCGTTATGTCATCAGAATAAACTCCATACACGCCAATATTGATACACACATATCTGGCACAAACAAATGTTTATCTGTTCATCGGAGTGTGTAACGAGTACACTCGTATGTTGAAGAGAGCATGTGTAGAGCGGAGAGTGCGTGAGTGTGGGTGGAATGTGGAGAAATGTCTCAATACATTTACAAGATAATTAGCTCTAGAATGGCTCAAAGGATGAAGCGTATGTAGATGTTGTTGTGGCTATAAACTGATATACACACATGCATAGATACACATATATGTGGTGAAGTTGAAAGGGATTTCATGTGCGACTAGTAATGGTCGCTTGCCTTTATAGCTTGAAGAATTCTGCAGCGTAAATGATGATAAATGATAGATTTGAGGCATATCGGTTTGCTGTTTGTTTACGTATTCATTAACTATAAGTAGATTTTGCTCCATCCGAGTCTGTTTAACTTGTCATGTGTGAAGAAGCTAGTCAAGTGCTTTATTTAAATACGATATAATTTTTTTATAGGCATATTAAAGCAATACGGGGGAAGTCACATAAGATTTTCATATTTGTATGCCCTGAACAGGGTCAGTTTGTCGCGAAGTTTGTAGAAATCTGAAGGAAAAGTCGGAGACCTTATAAAATATATATATAAATGATCGGCATGTTGAGCTGAGTCGATTTACCTATGTCCATCCTTCTGTCCATCTGCCTGTAAATACGCGAACTAGTTTTCAGTTTTTGAGATATCGATCTGAAATTTTGCAAATGTCCTTTCCTCGTCACGAAGTTGCTCACTTGCCGGCACTGCCGATATCGGATCTCTGTAGCATATAGCTACCATACAAACTTATCGATCCAACTCAAGTCGTTGTATCGTAAGCTTGTTTAAAAATGTTCACTAAAAAAAGTTGCAAATTAAAAAAAAGTATGTATAATGTATATCTATCGTAAAATAACAGTGGAAGAATTTTCAAAAAGTAAATGCTAAAAAACTTTCCAAATAATTTTCAAAAAAAAAAAAATTTTTTAAATATACTACATTTTAAAATTTTGGTTCTTTAAAATATGCTGATTTATCCAAATAATAATTTCCAGTAATGTGAACCGTTTGGTTTTCAATTTGTGCTATAGAAAACTATTAGTTAAATGTAAATATAAGATTAATATTGTACCACCACAGCGTATACGTAACCTATGTTCCCTATGCAGATAAAATTCAGTGTAAATCGCGAATGTTGTTAAAAGCAGGCGTTTCAAATGTTTAAGTATTTAATAAGCTGAAGCCAGTGTTTAAGCAACACACTTATATACCCACACATACGCACATTATCATGTCAACTCTTCCTCTGCCATGTCAAGGACACCATTTGTTTTCTAATCACCTAATATTTCATGTACTCAAACACTCTCAAACATACACTCACATGTAGTTCCCATTTACATATTTGCTCCATTGCTTTGTGTTAATCTGCCAATTTAATGCAACTGGCGTGTGATTCATAGCCAACTATTATCGGCATAATTGCTAATAATTGTCTAGCCAACGCGAAAGCTGAGCTCAGCGTAGCGTCAATCAGCGCATAAGCTCAAAATAATAATTACAGGCATGAGCGGACATGAATTCAAATCCATTTAGCTTATAAAACAGATTGTATATATATAAATATTGCAATGGATTGAATGAAATATTCCCTAATGAAATATAATTAAATTAAATATAAGCGAAAATGTCAATTTGTGAGCAAACATAACGAAATGATATTGAATGGTTGAGTTAGCGGCAGCGGTTATGCGGTATGTGGGCGCACTAATGCCGTTATGAAGTCGCTTTGCTAAAATATCATTCTGTAATGCAAGTAAATAGTGGACAATTAGCTTTAATTAAGCGGATTTTGAAAAGAAAAAATTTTTTTATATAAAAAATAAAAATAAAAAATTAAGGGAATAAATATGTTTTCTCACTTGTATTTACTGTCAATTGTCTTCAATTTAAGCTAAATTGAAGTCAATTAATGAATTGAAATGCAATTTATTTAATTTATTTGCACTCTAATAAATGGAAATCAGCGAACTATTTCTTTTAAAATGAATTTCCGATTACTTTTAACTTATTTCAATTTGATTAAATATATTAGGCCTAACTTAGTTAGAAACTGCTAAAAACTTTAAATAAATTTCTTAAATTGAATTCATTAAAAATCTATGAATTAAAGACCAGTAAATTTTATTTGGTTTAATTAAGTGGTAATTCTCTTGACACTAGCAATTCATATACAATGCATTAAGTTAATTAATTGATATAATTTAGGTAAATTTTTCTATTTAGCATGATATCAATACGTATATATACAATAAAATGCAATACGTTGTAATTTCATAAATTGTTTTTAATTATAAATTTATTTTTTAACGTTTAAAATATGCATTAATTAATGTGTAAAAATAACTTAATTGACTAAAATAATAAAATTTGCCGCTATCAGTCTACTTTAAGTCATTGCAATTACATTTTTTTGTTACTATAAATTTAATTACAGATAATTAAGTTTTATTTCCTTAAGTGTAAAATTAATCATCTTAGCAATTACTATATAATTACGGTTACTGTAGTCAATTACTTGATATAATGAAGTTAGATTTAATGTTTTAAGCTTACTGGAATATATCTAAAATGTTCAAGATCTCATTCATTAATTATTTTAATTAATTGAATAAAAGTAACATTAAATTATGTAATTAAAACAAATTATTAATTATATTAAGTATCATATTTAGCAATTAAGGAGAGTTGATGATTTCATTTTATGTAAATTTATTTTAATTTCGTTAAATTTAATTTAGTTTTCTTATTTATTTATTAATTTAATATAATTTGATTTAACGTTTATTTTAATTTGATTAATATATGTTTAATTTAATTATCTAAGTTAATGCATTCACATATGACTTAACTCTTTTATAATTTGTTAATGAATTTTAATTTCTTTTATTTATTTTAAATGTATGTACTTTAGTTAACTTAACCATGACTTAAGATAACATTTTAAGTCTTACATTAATTTAAATTAATAATATAAATTGTTTATTGTAATTTAGCGAATATAATTAATAAACTTAATTAAGGGGTTAATTTTAACATTATTTTATGTCAATTTTATTGTTATTAATTTAGATTTATTTAATTGAATATGAATTCACAATTATTATTAATTTATATTAATTTAAATTAAAATTTATTTAGTTAATTGTGTAAAATTTAATTTCATCTAATTATAATATAATCCACTAAAGCCTG